GAGAGAGAGAGGTGTTACATGAGGGCCTGATGATCTTAGGTAGATCTTGACGCCAGAGCGGACCGTTGCACGGGAACAAACGGTCATGACCCACGCCTGGTTTGAACCACCGGTTCCAGCTAATGAAAGCTCTGTGTACTGCCGGCGTGATACTGTGTCTGGCGCCGTCGGCGTGTTTGTGACATACACCTTCAGGCTTCGAGCGGGCTGACCATCACAGCCCCCCGTTCACGATCAGCACGTGAGCTCCGCCTGTCGGTACCAGTCGCGTCTGAGCCGGTAGAGCCCGGCCACACGCGCCACACGACACGTGCCAAGCAGGACGCGACGTCGTCACGTACGCCGGCGCCACATGGCACGTGCCAAGCGGGACGCGACGTCGTCACGTACGCCGGCGCCACACGACACGTGCCAAGCGGGACGCGACGTCGTCACGTACGCCGGCGCCACACGGCACGTGCCAAGCGGGACGCGACGTCGTCACGTACGCCGGCGCCACACGACACGTGCCAAGCGGGACGCGACGTCGTCACGTACGCCGGCGCCACACGACACGTGCCAAGCGGGACGCGACGTCGTCACGTACGCCGGCGCCACACGGCACGTGCCAAGCGGGACGTGACGTCGTCACGCACGCGGCGTACGTCTTCGACCCACCGGCGCCCGGCCGGCGGGGTGCCGCGGCGGCGCGCGGCCCCGTCCAGTGGCGTCGCCCGCCAGCTGCAGCGTCACGCCCCGGCCGGCCCGGCCGGCAGGGTGCCGCGGCGGCGCGCGGTCCTGTTCAGTGGCGTCGCCGCCAGCCGCAGCCTCACGCCCTGGGCGGCTCGGCGCGTAACTCAGCACGCGCCCGTCCTCGCTGGGCGGTGCCCTGGGGAAGTGCGGGCTGGAGCGGAGGGGCCAGGGGGTGCGGGGCAGGGCGGGCCTGGGCTCAGCGTCTGACCACCGCCGCGGCCGTCACAGCAGCAGACGTGGCTCACAGCCGCACGTTACTGAACTGAAAACGCCTCAAGCTCTAAGCGACACCGAAGATCAGAAGTTGCCTCAGGTTGAAGTCATTAAGGCAAACTTACAAGGATCAGGAAGCATAACTGGATTCCATCTGCTGTGATCCACGATCCCCCTAGTCTCCCCATGTCACACATCTCCCTAACAAACCGGCCGGCGTGCGTCGGTGATAACCAGGTCACATGGACCGCCGACAAACGGGGCCACGGCGCCGGGATTAGCCGGCGCCTGCGCCCCGGCCGGCCGCTGAACGACAACTTCCGTAAACTCCGGAACGCATCACGGCCCCACAGGCCGTACTCAGCGGCAGACGGGGGCTGACCGAGCCGCTGCCTCCGAGAACGGGCCGTCAATTTTCGTGGAAACGTCCTGAATATTCAGCATTCCGGTACCGGACGAGCGGATACTTGCCGTCCAATCTATCGCCGCCAGACTGAGCTGATAAGTCGGGCACCCCGCAGCTACCCCGGGGACTGAGCACACAGCGTCAGCGAGTCCCGGCGCCGGGGCTGCCCAAACCTGACGGATCGGACACGGCGTGCGTGAGCGATAGGACACGCCCGAGCACCCGAGCGATAGGAACCGGCCGAGCGCCTGAGCGATCTGGCATGTGCGCACCTGACCGGCGCGTTACCGGGCGGCCGCGGCGCCGCTGGCGCTGCCCGGCGCCGGCCGGCACACGCATCGATCTCGTGGTCACGTGCTGCCGTCTCCGGCGGCCGACCGTCAATACAGGCCGGCTCGGCCGGTCACGTGCTCGCCCACCGTACGGCGGCCGCGCATGCAAGCGCGCACACGCGCAAACGCACACGCATGCGGGGAAAGGGGTCGGACGCGGGATGCCACGCGATCGGTGCTGGGGCAGCCAACCGTGCTGTTCAAAATAGCGCAACAAAGCCCGGAAGTAGGAAATACACACAGTTGTCCCTCCCTCGAGAGCCGGCGCTTTGCTCATGGCGGTGTCACGACTCGGAGACAGTCGGCGAGTAGAGCGGCAGCGACAGCAGGGCGTCCCAGCTCTCGTCAGCGGCAGCAGGGCGTCCCAGCTCTCGTCTAGAGCGCCCCAGCTCTCGTCTAAGGCGTCCCAGCTCTTGGCGGCGACAGCAGGGTGTCCCAGCTCTCGTCTAGGGCGTCCCAGCTCTCGTCAGCGACAGCAGGATGTCCCAGCTCTCGTCTAAGGCGTCCCAGCTCTTGGCGGCGACAGCAGGGCGTCCCAGCTCTCGTCTAGGGCGTCCCAGCTCCCGGCAGCGACAGCAGGGTGTCTCATCTCTTGTCTATAGCGTCCCAGCTCTCGGCAGCACCAGCAGCGTGTCCCAGCTCTCATCTAGGGCGTCCCAGTTCCCGGCAGCGACAGCAGGGCGCCCCAGCTCTCGGCAGCGACAGCAGTGTCCCAACTCTTGTTTAGTCAGCTCTCGGGTGCCTGATACCATTGCACCATCCGCTCTTCCCACCTTCAACCGGCGGGACAGCTGACCGGCGCCGGACGAGGAGAGAGGTGTGGTGATGATGATAATGTGTGTGTGTGGGAGGGGGGGGGGGCAAAAGACAGTGCTAGCTCAGCAAGACGTCTCCATGAGTGTCATCCATACAGACATCTGCGGTGGATATCCTCCGTGATACCCCGAGTGAAAGCAATGCTCAAAACTGCGCGCTTCACAACGTCACAACTGACCCAGAGAAGCTATAGACGGCGCCCGAACAGCGAACACAGGCGATGTCCGTTCGTTCCCAGCGGTGTTCCGACCGGACGTGGCGCCGGAGAGTGGGCAGCTGTTTAGAGAGGTGGCAACATGTACCGTACTCACCACGACGGGCTGCAGACAGGCGACGAAGCGGCAGTAGCGACTGCGCTCCTCCACCATGGCCGCCGCCAGTGAGGTCTTCTCCGACTCCTCCAGCCTCTGAGAAACGGAGACAGAGTGACGTCACCACCTGGCACTGGGAAATGGGGGAAGGGTAACATCACCACCTGGCTGTGGGAATCGGGGGAAGGGTAACGTCACCGCCTGGCTCTGGAAAGCGGGAGAAGGGTAACATACCCACCTGGCTCTGGGAAACGGGGGACGGGTAACATCACCACCTGGCTCTGGGAAGCGGGAGAAGGGTAGCATCACCACCTGGCTCTAAGGGTAACGGAGAAGGGTAACGTCACCACCTGGCTCTGGGAAACGGAGGAATGGTAACGTCACTACCTGGCTCTGAGAAGCGGGAGAAGGGTAACATCATTACCTGGCTCTGAGAAGCGGGAGAAGGGTAACATCATCACCTGGCTCTGGGAGACGGAGACAGACACATGCCTCTAGAGAACGATGACAAATAGAGCAACATCACCGCCTGCACAAACAAACACAAACACAATACAAACGACCTCTTCAAACAGGAACTGCAGAAGTGCATAGCCAGAAGCCGGCCGGCTGGCCGCAGTCTGCAGCTGTTGGGACGACGGGACGCAAAACGGGCCTGCTGGCGCTTGCAGCTCCACCACGCAGCCGGCGAACGCCACCAGTAAAGATCAGCGCAGATGAGAGGCCCCGGAACCAAAGCATGAGAGGTTCCAGAACCAAAGCATGAGAGGCCCCGGAACCGAAGCGGTCACAGGCAGCTCTGCAGGACGCCGCCGGGCAGCTGTCCTGCGAATCTGTCCACAGGGCGCAGGCGGCATGATAAAAGCCAGGAGTAACCAGAAGTACTCATCGACGCGCGAATAGCCATCGTCAGCCTTGTCTCGCTCTAGAGGATGACTCCAGCGACCCCCAGCGACGACGGTGGGCAGCCGGCTTATTTCACAACGTTTCCCGCCAACGGCGTCGGACCGTGGCGGCGCAGCTACTGTTTTCGCTCCGCTGCCATTTTTCATCGTGGCTGATCTCAGGCGTGGGGATTTCGCCCGCCAGTTGCTCGTAGGCCCACACCTCAGCCTAACCGGAAGCATGCAACCGCACGTCTGGCTTGGCAGCGCCGGCCCAGTCGTGAACTGGGCCGCCGCTTTACATCGGCTTCGTGTCCGGCAATTGCACGCTTGGCACAGGCCCCAGTAGCGCACGCACCGCCATCTGTGTTGGTTTAGCGTCGATCTGCGCGGTTTATTTTGCCAGCAGACGCTGTTTACGGGCCGCAGACCCCCTGCGAGCGAGACGGAATGATCACGCAGAAGTCGCAGCGCGACGGCTCTTCCGATGTCGCACGAGCTCGGCGCCCACGATTTTCAGCTCCAGCCCCACAGTTGAGGCCGTGACGGCAATTTTTACAGCCGAGTTGCCTGTGCAATAATTTTATAGCTGAAGCCTACCACTAAAATTTTACAGCTCAGCTTTTCTATCAGCATCCGGCCCGGGCGGACGAGAGCATAGCTATTATTGCCGGCGTTATTTATTACACGGCTTCTGACGAGGCCGAACACTACTGCCGAGCGAGGGGCACCGATCATCGCTCGCCCATCCACACGGGCCGGCAAATTAACCAATCCCGAGGGCGCCATCCAGCAGGGAGACGCCACGTCTGCCCTGACACCATCAAAAGCAGCAGCGGCGGAGGCTGGTTGAGCCCGTTTCGCCATCAATACGGGAGGGGAGGGGGCCGGGGAGCGTCGATACGCGTTCGAAATATCGAGCTTCACCCGTCTTCCCAGCAGGCCGCGATGTTGTCAGCCCAGCCTCCTGGGAAGGCCTAGCGGGAGCGACAGCAGGCGACAGGAGAACCGAACCGGCACGGAGACACTGCTTCGAACCGGACGCGGCAGCGAGGTTACCTCAGCCCGCTGGTGGTGCACGTCTGACGGAGACGACGCGGTTTTAGATGCGCCGCCAGCCGCGGCTCGCCTCTCCCAGATAGGACAAGCGATAGCGATCGTCACAAGCATGTGCTTCCTACATCGCACGACCAAGCTGAAGCCAGTGAAAGGCGAGAATAATGAAAGGATATTATGGAGCTGACTGCATCCGCAGGCCAATTATTGCAGCACATCGAACTGAGCGATCCCACAAGGCGGACACTACACTGACCGATACTATGACAGGATTCTTCTGAAAGAGCTCCACCTGCAGGCGACGACAGACCGGTCGGGCTCGGCGCCTTACAAACGGCGCCGGTCGGGCTCCGGCCTCGGTAAACGGCGCCGGTCGGGCTCCGGCCTCGGTAGACGGCGCCATCCGGGCTCGGGCCTCGGTAGACGGCGCCGGTCGGGCTCCGGCCTCGGTAAACGGCGTCGGCCGGGCTCCGGCCTCGGTAAACAGCGCCGGTCGGGCTCCGGCGCCGACACTGGCCCGTAATAGGCCGCCAACGCACGGCCGGAGGCGTCGCGGCGACAACAGGAAACAGAGCGTCCGACCGGCGGTCACGTGCCGCGCTCAATCAGCCGCCCAGGGCCAGCGCAGCGCACCACGTGACCACAGCCCGGACCCACGCGCAGCGGAGGGCCGACGGAGGCACAGCCGACCCGGCGCGGCCGCAGCAGGAGTACCGCTGTCACGCGCGGCCCTGGACGGCCGCCGGCGGCGATTGAGACGGCACGGGTCGGCCCACCCGTCAACACGCTTTTTGACAGCCAGGAAGGTCACAGCGCCGGAGGCAGTTAGCGCCGCGTGACAGCTGGGCGTGGGAGGGTGTCGCCAGAGTCGCTGCCCGCGGTGTGGCAGCCGAGCTGGCCCCGCCACAGACGAGAGCGGGAGGGTGTCGCCAGAGTCGCTGCCTGCTGTGTGGCAGCCGAGCTGGTCCCACCACAGCCGGGCGTGGGAGGGTGTCGCCAGCGGGGCTATCATCAGCTCCGTGAGCTCGTGCCGGGGAGGCGGCACCGTCTCCGCACACTGGGCGCTGGATCGCCGGCTGACGTCATCATCAGCTCTGTGAGCTCGTGCCGGGGAGGCGGCACCGTCTCCGTAAACTGGGCGCTGGATCACCGGTTGGCGTCATTATCCAAACACAGCTGACTGGCAGGGCAACACACGCTGGTGCCGTGGCGCCAAACACTCCAGGGCCGGCTGCGGTTACCTACCACCGAGTGTACTGATGTAACGTAGTAACACGGACGGAGACCACAAAAACACGGCCGCCGACCACACGGCATCTTATGTCACCAAGAGACGGCGTGGTGGTCATGGCTTGTATATACGCGGGAAGATGACACAAACGCCATGGTCCCGCAGGCTCGTATAAAAAACGGCAAACGGGGCCAAGTGAGGAGCTAAATATAAATAATCAGTGGTTCCACCAGCCGGAAACAAAGGATGACAAACGAGGTCATATAAAGAGCCAATTACAATTTTGATAAATAAAATATAACTGAACGTAAGTATACCAACATGCATGCGCGGATGCGAATCAACATGGCAAAGACGACCAATCGTGGGTAAACGGGGGCAATCAATCGGGGGTAAATGAAAGGTATAGTACGTGACACACATGTGGGACACCACACGCAGCTCTGTCCGCAGTTTTCCCAGCATCAGGCGGCCGCCGCTCCGGTCCAGTCGGCGCGCCAGCCCGGGCCGGCGGGGCGGGCCGCCGGCTCACCTGGTAGCGCTGCTGGAGGTCGGTCAGCTGGGCGTCCAGTGCGCGCTGCAGCTCTGCCGGCCTGCCGCCCTTCCGCGCCTTCCTGTGGAGCCGGAGCGCCTCCGCCGAGCGCTTCTTCAGCTCGTACCGCTGGCGCTTGTACTCTGAAACAGCCGGCCGCTGGCGTCAACGGCTGCCCAGCCACCGAGGGATGGAGTCGGCGGCCAGGCCGGTCACGGAGGAGGAGGTGTCGGCGGCCAGGTCGGCTGCCCAGCCACCGAGGGGTGGAGTCGGCGGCCAGGTCGGTCACAGAGGAGTGGTGTCGGCGGTCAGGCCGGTCACGGAGGGGTGGTGTCGGCGGCCAGGCCGGTCACAGAGGAGTGGTGTCGGCGGCCAGGCCGGTCACGGAGGGGTGGTGTCGGCGGCCAGGCCGGTCACGGAGGGGTGCAGTCGGCGGCCAGGCCGGTCACGGAGGGGTGGCGTCAGCGGTCAGGTCGGTCACGGAGGGGTGGTGCCGGCAGGGATCAGGTCCAGCTAGGAGGGGTTGGTGTCGGCGGTCATGTAGGCGCGCCCTGTCACGGAGGGGGTCATCGGCGGGCGGCCATTGCCGGTTCACGGAGGAGTGGTGTCGGCGGTCAGGTCGGTCAACGGAGGGGGTGTTGCCGCAGGTCGGTCACGGGATGCTTGGTGCCGGCGGCCGCAAACAATAGGTTACAGGAGCGGTGTCGCCGCGCCAGTTCGTCACAGAGGAGTGGTGTGAGTGGCCGTCGGTCACGAGGGTGGTTCGGAGCAGTCGGTCACGGAGGAGTGGTGTCGGCGGTCAGGTCGGCGCCCTGTCACAGAGTGGGTCGGCGGCCAGGCGGTCAGGAGGAGTGTGTCGGCGGTCAGGTTGCGCCCTGTCACAAAGAAGTGTGTCGGCGGCCAGGTCGGTCACGGAGGAGTGGTGTCGGCGGTCAGGTCGGCGCCCTGTCACAAAGGAGTGGTGTCGGCGGCCAGGCCGGTCACGAGGTGATGTCGCGGTCAGGTCGTTACAGAGGTGTCGGCGGTGGTGAGGGGGGGGGCGTCGGCGGCAGCCGGCACAGAGGGTGATGTCGGCGGTAGTCGAGGAGGGGTGAGCGGCGGTGGTCGGTCAGGAGGGTTGCGGCGGCCAGGCGTCACGAGGGTTGTCGGCGGCCATTACGGGGAGCGGTGTCGCGTCAGGTCGTTACGGGGGGGGGGGGGCGATGCCGGCTGCCAGGGTGTCGCCCGGCTGCCTTAAGACACGCCGAGGCAAAGCTCTAATCCATGGCGTCGCCAGTCGTGTCACGTTTCAGCACCGGCCAACTGCGCCCGATGGCCACACTGTCTCGACACGAAACTCGACTCAGCAGATGGCGACCGGCGCAATTATTTTCTCGTCATCATCAGCAGGACAGCAGCGGCGTTACTAGAGCGAGTCACATGAACTAGCGCACGGGCAAAGATAAACATCGCCGACAAAACACTCCGACAGACCAGGAGTGTAAACAAAAAACCAGACGAGCAAAAAGCCCCATGGTCGAGGTCCCCAGTCCACGACAGGATTTCGATCTCATCACGCACCAGCTTCGGCTGCGTCCCAAGGGCGCCGATGAGCCGACGTGCTTCGTCGCGTGACGCGCCGGTGGACCGACACGATTCGTCACGTGACGATCACATTGGGATTGACGTGATCGGGACCGCGTTTTCTAGCGGCGCAGCGGCGAAAACGAAACAAGGCAACAGCCAAAACCATTGACAGTTAGCAAGGCTCAGCCACGCTCGTCGTCGCCCACTCCCTGTTCTCCACCATATCACATTTCCGCCGGCAACCCGGCCGTCCCAATCGTGTCTGAAGCCTCGTGACTGGCAAGATCCTGGATCAGCCATCGTCAAAATCCCCCTCCTCCCTGCTCGATCTCTACAACCTGCGGTCGTTGGACCAACCTTACCCTAGACAAAGTCATGTCCATTTCACACATCGTTCACCATGACAGCTGCGCCAGAAGCCAGACATCCGTGAATGGAGACGTACCGACCACCGGGCCCACAGATCTCACGGATAGCATGCGTGCATTGTTAACGACTACGGGGTACGAACGCTGTGACAACGATGTACCCACCGCATGAGCCGGACCCGGCACAGAGCCCTCCTTTTCCTGAGAAACCTCGGCAGCAGAAAATACCCGAGATCAAGCCCGCAACTGAATCCGAAAGTCTATTCCCGTCCTCCACCCTGGAGCGACGGACACTGCTGGTGCTGGGCGTTCGGCGAAGCGTGCGGCTCTACGGTAGCGATTGTACGATGGCGTAATGGACATTACGCTAGTCTGCACGCTGCTGCTGCAGCTGTTGCACATCGTCAAAATAGCGCACTCTCACTGATCCAATGTCCAACGCAGTGCCGAGCCCCATACAGATGCACGTCAATGGAGACTGTGCCCACAAACCGCCACCCCCGATCACTGAGATCGTCTGCGTATGTCTGGCCTGGGCGCCGCTCCGGCCCGACGCCGCTGAGCGGGTGACGTCACACGGCACGCGCCACACGTGAGACTCCTCCACACGGGGCTGGCCGGGGCGCGGGAGAGAGCGCGCGGCGCGCCGGCCGCCAGCCCGTCCAGCGTCTGCGCGTGCCGGACAGCGGCGCCAGCCAGGGCTGCCGACCTGCCCAGCACAGCTCGCCTGAGCGTCAGCCAGCGCTGCCGACCTGCCCAGCGCAGCTGGCCTGAGCGTCAGCCAGCGCTGCCGGCCTGCCCAGCGCAGCTGGCCTGAGCGTCAGCCAGCGCTGCAGACCTGCCCAGCACAGCTAGCCTGAGCGTCAGCCAGCGCTGCCGACCTGCCCAACACAGCTGGCCTGGGCGTCAGTCAGCGCCGCCGACCTGCCCAGCACAGCTCGCCTGAGCGACAGCCAGCGCTGCCGACCTGCCCAACACAGCTGGCCTAAGCGTCAGCCAGCGCTGCCGACCTGCCCAGCACGGCTAGCCTGAGCGTCAGCCGGCGGCGTCAGCCAGCGCTGTCGACCTGCCCAGCACAGCTGGCCTGAGCGTCACCGCGTCATTGTCAGCCGGCGGTCGCCGCGGCGGACAATGCCATCGGGCGGAGAATGACGAGGGAAGCGGCGCGCGCGTAGAAAGTGGTGTGGCAAAGCTACCGGAGCGGGCGTGTTTCATTGAACAGATGCCAACACTGTGCTTGTGTTGGGTGACGTTCTGTCGATCGCTCGCACACCTGGCACGCTGTATTCTCCACCTATGACAATGCCACCAGAAGGCTTCTGCTGACCCCGTCGCGCGGACCGCCGCGAGCGCCGCGTCGTCTCCTACCGGCGTTCCCCGGTGGCCGCCGCCGCCGCCGCCGCAGCCCAGGCCGGCAGCTCGCACACCGCCGCCGCTGCCGCTTCCTGTTTAACTTCGACCAATGGAGGCGGCACACTGGGACCGACGCACGACGGTGCCGACTGGGTCCGCGCCAGGGCCCGGCGGTGACGCCCCGCCGCTGCCGACGCGCCGGCCGACACCGAGGCACCGTCCGCTCCAGGGCGGCGCCCGCGTCAGGGCCCGGCGGTGACGCCCCGTCGCTGCCGACGCGCCGGCCGACGCCGAGGCACCGTCCGCTCCAGGGCGGCGCCCGCGTCAGGGCCCGGCGGTGACGCCCCGCCGCTGCCGACGCGCCAGCCGACGCCGAGGCACCGTCCGCTCCAGGGCGGCGCTCGCGCCAGGGCCCGGCGGTGACGCCCCGCCGCTGCCGACGCGCCGGCCGACGCCGAGGCACCGTCCACTCGAGGGCGGCGCCCGCGTCAGGGCCGCGCTGCCGCCGAGTTCGTGCGCCGAGTCACAGTAGGCTGGGAGAACGCTGAATACGACCGTCCACTGCCGACGACACAAGTGCTAGAGGCTATCGGCGATGGAAGTCGGAGTAAAGCCACATCGCCCGCTGTAAATGTACATAAATGCAGATCACGCTGAACGCAGCCGCTACCAGTGAGGGATGGCTGAAACGCCACGCGTCCTGCTTCCCCGGCAGCGACGGAGTAACTATCACGGCGACGTGGGAGCCGGAGGGAGGGAGGGAGCATAATGTTACGCCCATGGTCGAACGTTAACGTTCATACGTTACGACATACGTTTTTACCGTTCAAAGGTGCACTCTTCGCAGAGGCGGAGGCACAGCGCGGCCAGAACGGTCATTCCTTTCCACCCTCCGACAACAGGCAAAAACCAGTCACATGGGAGCGTGAGCCCTCTCTCCGGCGCCGACAGACGTAACCCCAGGCGCGGGGCCAAGCGCCGCGGCCGGCCGGGCCGCTCCTCCCGCCAGATCGGCACCCATCCCTGCTGTTAGCGCCCAGAGCTGACCCGGCGTAGCTGAGCCCGGACCCGATCACAGGCCGGTGGCGCTCGTGATGGTCCAACTGTTCGGTGTTAGATCACCAACCGCTCTGTTCTTCACTGACCCCAGGTTACGTGCGTTGTCACTGGGTTGTGGTACTACTGGCCATAGCAGTTGCATGCGAACGGTGTAACCACGAGTTTTTTCGGGGAGTAGGCTGGACCGGCGGTCCGTGTTTTAATTGGCAGAGGCGCGCGAACGCCAGCTGGCGACTTTGTCGCACGGCAGCGCCGTCAGCTGTTGGGTGTCACTGACCGGCAGATGGCCGGTCGACCGTCCGCACCGCCGGCTGCTGGCTGCATCGCACCCCAGCAGGACAGAACTCTGCTAATGGCGGAGCCGAGCCAGGACGAGCCGAGCCGAGCCGAGCCGAGCCGAGCCGGGCCGGGCCGGGCCGGGCCGAGCCGAGCCGGGCCGGGCCGAGCCGAGCCGAGCCGAGCCGAGCCGAGCCGAGCCGAGCCGAGCCGAGCCGAGCCGAGCCGAGCCGAGCCGAGCCGAGCCGAGCCGAGCCGAGCCGAGCCGAGCCGAGCCGAGCCGAGCCGAGCCGAGCCGAGCCGAGCCGAGCCGAGCCGAGCCGAGCCGAGCCGAGCCGAGCCGAGCCGAGCCGAGCCGAGCCGAGCCGAGCCGGGCCGGGTACGGCCATCGATCCCGCCGCCACCGCCTGATTACGGCGGTCCGCCGATGAAACGGATATCGGTCGGCCATTATTGCCCGCCGCCGCCGCCGCCAGCCATCTTCAGGCTCAGCCAATGGAAGGGGCCATCATCGGCCGCGG